CTGATTTGTCACACAAGATTCAAAATCTACGTTTATACCTATAAATGAGAATAAAGTAAAAATATAATTAATGACATATAAAAACATAGTGTATAGAAACATAAACAATTATATACCACATGGATTTTTTTAACTGTACACTCATTCCCACACTCTAATAATAGGTGATGACCTGGATTTAGATCTAAATAACATTGTATTTTGCATTAAAAAATAGTGCCAGTAGACCCAACTAAAAAATAGGAAGAATTCAAATTAGAAAAATAAAATCAACAATACCCATATTTTAATTCCTTAAAAACGAGAAAAAGTGTCTGCCTAAAAGATTTCTATTAGAATTTTGCATTGGAGAAATAACTACATAATTTTTTTATCATGGCCTAAGGTGACCATCTTGCGAAAACATTCTCTTGCAACAACATTTGGATTCTATGTCTCTTTTTTCGAGATGAAATTTTCTTTATATCATTATGTTCTGTTTCTTCATAAATATATACTGATCCATAATTCTTTCCAAACTCAGCAAATTCTTTAACACTAAGATAATAAAAATTGACAACAAAAGAGAAAAAATTAAGAACACTAACTCATTTGTGTGAAAATTTTAAAAAAGAAACGAAAACAACAAAAAGATTGCAAGAATGGTGAGAATAACCTCATTTGTGGATGAATGGGCAAAGAGAAGCTTCGTTCTGAAAGTCGCTCGCATTTGTTAGAATTGGTTGCGAAAGACATATCGATCCACAAGGAAAACAATTAATTATACGCATTCATTTTTTTTACGCTTTCATAGTTTGTCCATTGTTCTCCACCTATCATAAAATTTATTTTATTTTATTTTAAGGTAGGGACACATGTGTATTACATTGAATGATTATGGGAAGTGTTCTCGAATACTGAATTGGTTGAAATTTATGATTCCATAAGAACATAATTCCCTGACTGAGTTGTTGCAAAAGATAAAAATCTACTGTTTTACTAAGAGATGATAACACATCTACTTTATTACTAAGAGATGATACCAACGAGTTTATACCTAAAAATGAGAATAAAGTAAAAATGCAATTAATAACATAGGAAAACATAATGAATACCTTTTACAGAAGCATAAACAATGATTTTTTCTTGGTGGGCTTTCTCATACCAATTTCTTAGGGGTGTTACTCCTTCCACCACCACATTTTCTCTCTCCACCTCCCCAATTCTATTACATATTTTTTGAATTACAAAACTAACCTTTTATAATTACACAAATAACATTTTTATTTTTTAATCCTAATTATTTACTTTAACCCTAAAATCTATTCCTTCTCACCCACCTCCCAACCCTCTCAGATTCTCACCCAAACTCCATCAGATTTGTTTCTCATCTTCCATTTTTCCTCACAAGGTTAGTGATGATATTTTTAAATTTTTTTTAAATGCAATGCATACATCTCTGTGTTGTGCTCTGTGTTTTTTTGTTGTGTGCGTGTGTTGGGAGAAAGGAAGAAGATAACCAGGGCAAAAACGGATGTCGGGTATCCGTTTGGATCTGAAATGGATGTCGATATCCGTCGACGGATGTTGACATCTGTTTTCCCTTAAACGGATGTTGACATCTGTTGACGGATGCTCACATCCGTTTAAAGATTATACGGTTTATATTTTAGGGTTTTATTACGCACCTTCACGCCTCTGAACCTCTCACGCCTCTGAACCAGCACCTTGAAGCACCACCACACTCACGGCGGAAGATGAATTGCTTTCCTCACTTTCAATCTTACTAAACACAAAGTCCACCATACTCTCATGTCACAATTCTATAAAAGAGAAGAAGAAGTAATGTAAGAGAAAACCTGAAAAAAATAATAAAGAGAAAGAGGAAAGAATGATAAAGAGAATGAATGTCCACGTGAAATTTTAAATAATATTAACCCTAAAATTTTAATAAGGGTAAACTAAGAATGAAAAAATAAAAAAAAAAAGGTAAAAGGAGAATGGGGTGGTGGAGGAAGCAAGTTGTGGTGGTGGAGGGAGTAACACCCATTTCTTAGTAGGATATGACCTTGAGCCTCTCTTTCTTTTAAACCCACTTATTGTAGCAAGTTATAAAGAAACCCTTATTTATGTTTTTTCATTGAGAAATAAATCATAATGAATAGTACTATTACAAAACTTAACTTTTGGTTTTATGTGATGGATTGTTTAAAGGTGCTTTTAACGAGTATTTATTGAAATTAATATGTATTTATATGTTTATAAATTATTATTTTTACTTATTAGCGTTTAAACTATTGTTACATTAAGTTTCTTTCTTTGAATAACTTTTAATGTCTCTTATTTTTCTATATAATCTTATAATAAAACAATGGTTTTAAGGAGTATATAAGAAAATATATGTTAAAATATAATAGAAAAGAAGTAAAATTAGATAAGATCATCGGTTATTTAATTGTTTGACAAAATTAGATAATAAGTTAGCTAGTAGATTATAAGTTTCTAGTTTATAAGATTTAGGTTGATAATCTAAGTTATTGACTTTGGTAAACTAAACTACTTGTTGGAAAATGTAAAATGATATGTATGTACACGTAAATTTTATTAATAAATGAATTTAAGGTTTTTTTTAGACGAAACAATTATTATGTAAATATATTTTTTTCTTCAAAGTATTTAAATTCTAATTAAACTTTAAATACTTTTTACACGTTAGACTTTTTTTATTTATTTATTTAAGCAAGTAATTTTATTTAGATAGGTCTAGCAATAGATATTAAATGAGTGTGTTGATATATTGATTAGATGAGTCAACAATATACATTAGACGAGTATTTTCATACTAATTAGAATAATATAGGGAAGTAAAAATTACACGAGTCTAATAATACACATTAGATGAGACTGTTCATATAATAATTAAATGGGTATAATAAAAAATATTAGTCAAGTCATTTCATATATTGATTAATCGATTATAACGAAACTATTAGACAACTATATAAATACATTGATTAGATTAGTAAAGCAAAAGACAAGTATATCAATATATTAATTAGAAATATTTAGCAATTTCGACAAGTCATTTATATATTTAGACAAGTTTATTCATTCACTTATTAGATGAATCTTGCAATACATGTTAGATGAGTATGTTCATATGTTGATTAAATGAATACAACAAAAAAAAATTAGACGATTCTGTCCATGTATCCATTAGATGAATATAACAAAAAACATTAGATTAGTCATTTCACATATTAATTAGATATAAGAATACATATTAAACCAGTATGTCATATTAGACGAATTTAACAATAGATGTTACACAATTCTGTTCATATACATATTTTATTAGTATATTAATACACATTAGATGACTATATTCATTCTCTCATTAGACAAGTCTTGCAATATAAATTAGATAAGTCTAACAACACATATTAGACAAATTTTGTCAATACACTAATTAGACAAGTTCAATAATACACGTTAGACTTATTTTTTCATACATTGATTTGTATTTTTAGAAAGTCTACTTCACATATTTATGTATGTCTTTTATATTTTTAGAGAGTTTTTTCCCACAGGTTTTATCCTTTGTATTTTTATATTTTTATAAATATATAACTTTTTAAACTTATAAATAGTTGATTTTACTAAAAGTTAATTATAAACTTAAAAATATTTTTTTTCTAAATCTCTTTCGATAAACAATCCACAAATATGGCACAGGTTTAAAACTAATATTTAATAAAAACATCTAACTGTCAAAATTCAATTGAAAAGTTGAAAAGTTTTAAATTTTTTGATAACTCAAATGATGTCAAAATTTAATAGAAACTTAATCAATAGTTTTCAAATTTTTTATCCATTTAAAATTAATCTCTACAAAACTTTAGTTTTTATGAAGTCTTAGAAGATCAGTTAAGAGTAGTACATTTTGTTATTAAAAAGTGAAAGTTATAAATAAAGTTCCTTTAGATGAGTTTCACTTTATAAAAACCTTCATTATTCTCTCGAAGATTTTAACTTTCTCTTTCATGTTTTAAATATTTAAGCACGTCCTAAGACTCTTGGGGTCAAGAGCTAAAAGTCTACTCGATTATTTTGTCAATAGAGTAAGTTCTCCTTTTGCCCTTTTCTTGATCCAATTCTTGTTTTGCTTGCATGTGTCTTTGAGTAGATCTAGGTGTTTCTTTACTCTTTTCTAGTCATGAGGGAATAATAAGATCATTAATGTAGTTATAACTATTTGAGGATATGTGTCTTGTGTGAAGTCTTTGTGAGCAAGGGCTCTTCCTCTAAGTTATGATATTTGGGATTGGCACTATAAAGTGATACTTTTAGCTCCACTGAGTCATTTTAAGCAATTTGGTCTTGTTTTGACTCATATATAGGAGAAAACATTCAATTAGGGTTGAGAGTATTGTCTATCTTGTAGAATTATGCATCTGGTTTATGTAAACTCGTTAGACGAGCAAACCAACAACTTACTCAACGAGTGTTAAATATAAAATGTACTTTGTCATACTCTGTGGACTAACGTTGAAAAAGACATAAAAAAAGAATAAACCAATTATTTCATTATAACTTCAAAATCTATTTAAAAATTATAACAGAATAAACTCGAGAAGCTTAGCACTAATGAGATTGTATACATTATGAATGAAAGAAAAAGTGAAAATGGGATTGTTACTAAAGCTAAAATGAACATTAAGAAAAAGTGAAAATGGAACAAAATGAACAAAAATTAAAATTTGATTAAAAAAAAAGCTAAAATCACATTAAAATATTTAACAAAAAAGCGTAACAAATTAATATTTAAGCCTAATATTTATTAAGTGTGTCAAAGTTTTTAGAATATTCTCTTACATTGATATTGTCGGTTTTGTTTTGATAATAATTATAGACATAATTATGATATATAACAAAGTTAACTTAAATTACATATTTCACATTAAAATGGGTTATTGATGTAAAATAGTAATTCTCAGCGCAAAGCAGTAGGGTTCTTTACTAAAAAGAAGCATAACAACAAAGAAAGAAGAACAATGAGCCCATACACAACAGAAACTAAAGATCTTCCCTGCTCACAAACATACTCTATCAAATAAACAAAAAGCAAGAACTTTATTCTCTAACAAATACTTAATATCATTAAAACTTAATTATCCTCAAGCAGAAGCCCATTCATCTTGAGTTCAGATTTAAGCTTGGCCATTTCATCTTCTGGCAAAATCATGGTCACAAACTTCCCATCACCGCCATTTTTGATAGATCCTTGTGGCCCCGGATACACCAAAATGGCTCCTTCATCTCCAACCCCTTGAATGCTGTAGTAAACAAATGTTGGTGTCTGTCCATTCAATCGCAAATCATACAAATTGATCTTTTCCAAGTCCACAAATGTCAAATTGGCACCGTACACGAAGAAATCACTCACACCTTCGTCTCTCTCAATTGCTTCTTCAATTTGCTTCCTCTCATCGACACCCAGATCCTCAAGCATTCTTGCCAAAACACTCAAATCCGTCTCACCAATGCAACATTCACTTCCAGCCTCAATCTTGCTTATCACTTGGTTGTTACCAATAATATCATTCTCCTTACTATACGGGTCGCTTCGGCACACAGTTACGGTTTTGGGTTCGGATTTTGTCCGAACCCGGGCAACACAGCGCCAGATCATGGCACATAGTGATTCAAAAGCAGGGGTTTGGTGATGACTTGGACCCCAGATTTGTGCTTGCAAGTAGTTCAATTGTGAGCTTGTTATGTTGAAGGAGAATGTGTCCATTTTCTTGTTGTTGGCTGGGATCCAATGATCACCCACCGGGTCAATCCGTTTTGCCGAAATTGGATCCTTTTGGGGTCCGGGTTGTCCGGGTGCTGGGACGGATCTTGGAACGTTGGGAAGCATTTTGAGGCCCAAGTTATTCATTACTCGTCCCCATGAGTTTATGAATTCTGAAGCTGAAAGTGGGTCCCCCAATATATGAGCCCAACTCAGACCCAATGAAATTCCTCCGCACTTAAATCCAGTTACCTGCATAATCAATCACCAAAGAAACAAGGGTCATTTTCAAAAGCAAAGTTCTATTATTTTTCATAGAAAATTAATTAGTGTCCTTTTTCACTGCATTTTGTTTTTAAAATTTCTAAGACCTTTTTACGAAGTCCAGTAATTATTACAAAAATTCAGATTATTTTTTTATTTTACAGAAATTTTTTTTGGAAATGTCTGAAAAAAGGATCTACCAGAATTTCATAAAATATGTTCTCACTTTTTTGTACCAGTTTTGACTTTTATGCTCATAAGGCACTGGATTCATTTATATACAACGTAGGAAGGTTTAGGTCTAGGACATTCATAATAATAATAACGAAAATAACACATTAAGAAGACGAACAGCGAAAGTAACAGAAACCAATCCGACCTTATCACTTTTCAGAAAACAATGCTCCACCATATCATTCATGAAACCTGATTATAAAAGATAATTATTAGAAGTATTAAATTCATGAAAATATTTTAGAATTAATTTTTTATCTTTAAAGTTGATCTGTATTATATTATCTTTAAAATTGATCTGTATTAAAATTTATATTTTCAATTTATTTTTAAAATACTCAACTTTTAATAAATATATTACTTTAATTCTAATACTTACTTTATTACTTTTAAACTAAGGTTGGGACATAAATTTATATCATATTAACTAAATATGTTAATTTTATTTTATATATATATGTGTGTGTGTACTTTTATCATTTTCAGGATATTTAAATATGCATTGTAGATAATTGAGGAAGTCACTTTTTAGGCGATTTATAATTGATATTTTTTGTCTCAAAGTGTTAGTTTGTTATTTAGTAAAGGCGAGATTTTACTTGAATCGTATAATTTTTTTTCCTAATCTAAAATCCAAAATTGTTAATAATTGACATCATTGGAAAAGTAGTATTTAACTTTAAAACAAATTTATGATCAAAAGTATGCAAACACGAATAACAACAAAATCGGATAAGAAAGAACATAAGTTGAATATCCTACTATGTTAAGAGAAGGCAATAATTTGTTTCCTGTCTTCTGGTTTTAAAGAATTTTTTCTCTCACTTGGTACTCCAATAAGTCTTTGGAAGGTTGTCCCAAAGCACTAATCATTTTATTATTTTATAAAAGCGTTAAATAAAAAATAAACAGTTAATATTTAAAATATTTAACATATTCAGCACATATTATTCAAAAGAAATAGTTAATAAATTAAAAATGAATAAAAATATTAAAGGGATATCGATCGGATAATGATACTTTGACAATATTTTTTGAAAACACTTTAACATCATCTAGGTATCATTATGTGATTGATTCATGTTGGTGTTTATGATTATTATTATTATTGTGTTTATAATCATTATTATTGATTATGGAGTAATTTTGGANAATAACTTTTAATGTCTCTTATTTTTCTATATAATCTTATAATAAAACAATGGTTTTAAGGAGTATATAAGAAAATATATGTTAAAATATAATAGAAAAGAAGTAAAATTAGATAAGATCATCGGTTATTTAATTGTTTGACAAAATTAGATAATAAGTTAGCTAGTAGATTATAAGTTTCTAGTTTATAAGATTTAGGTTGATAATCTAAGTTATTGACTTTGGTAAACTAAACTACTTGTTGGAAAATGTAAAATGATATGTATGTACACGTAAATTTTATTAATAAATGAATTTAAGGTTTTTTTTAGACGAAACAATTATTATGTAAATATATTTTTTTCTTCAAAGTATTTAAATTCTAATTAAACTTTAAATACTTTTTACACGTTAGACTTTTTTTATTTATTTATTTAAGCAAGTAATTTTATTTAGATAGGTCTAGCAATAGATATTAAATGAGTGTGTTGATATATTGATTAGATGAGTCAACAATATACATTAGACGAGTATTTTCATACTAATTAGAATAATATAGGGAAGTAAAAATTACACGAGTCTAATAATACACATTAGATGAGACTGTTCATATAATAATTAAATGGGTATAATAAAAAATATTAGTCAAGTCATTTCATATATTGATTAATCGATTATAACGAAACTATTAGACAACTATATAAATACATTGATTAGATTAGTAAAGCAAAAGACAAGTATATCAATATATTAATTAGAAATATTTAGCAATTTCGACAAGTCATTTATATATTTAGACAAGTTTATTCATTCACTTATTAGATGAATCTTGCAATACATGTTAGATGAGTATGTTCATATGTTGATTAAATGAATACAACAAAAAAAAATTAGACGATTCTGTCCATGTATCCATTAGATGAATATAACAAAAAACATTAGATTAGTCATTTCACATATTAATTAGATATAAGAATACATATTAAACCAGTATGTCATATTAGACGAATTTAACAATAGATGTTACACAATTCTGTTCATATACATATTTTATTAGTATATTAATACACATTAGATGACTATATTCATTCTCTCATTAGACAAGTCTTGCAATATAAATTAGATAAGTCTAACAACACATATTAGACAAATTTTGTCAATACACTAATTAGACAAG